GTTGAACACTCTGGACACCAGGTCCGGTCTGTCGGTTGCCGTGGCCCATCTCGGTAGGTTCTGTGTGATCTCTGGCCAGCTAGGATTACACGTAAACGTAATAAAAAGATTAGGCTTTCCACACTTACTCACAATGGCCATCGCGTCATGATAACACTGTTTCATGAAACGGGGACCACCTGTAAACGACGATGGCAAAATCATCCTACGGCCGACGCCCGCCACGGGTGCGTCAATTTGGAGCTGTTAGTTGATGTGATCCACAAGTCCCTGATACGATTCTGCGAAAAGCTCAGCTTGATGATATCTAATGTACATTAAGTTGTTCGCTTCCATTCTAACGTAATGATCACCCACAAACTGTTGCAACAGATATCGACCATTATGTAATAAACTCATAGCATCGTGGATTGTGTCGTTGTTGTCATTGTAACGAATAGCAAGACAATAGCAAGTATACTCCCTGATACTGTTCCGATTGCGAACAGGGGTTCGGCGAGGGCCCTCTTGTAGCAAACGTTGATGCCAACCCAGCTCTCCTCGTGGGAAGAGTAGGGGATACAGCATTGGATCCGCGTTTGAAGAGCCGGCTGGTATGGTCTGTAGTCGGCGATGTTGCGGGTCAATTGGATTCCGGTCGTGGATCACCAGATCGACGTCTGTTGGCGGTTGACCGTCATCACCGACAAACACTACTGCGACTTCGTTGACCGTTTCAGGCGGTGGGTTGTATCGCCTCCTGTCCACATTTCCGTCGGCGACGAAATGCATTCTCACCCTCCTTGGAAGCAACTGAGGATCCCTGTCGGGAGCGTTTTCTCTAGCCCACACTTCTCGCATGGTTCTGTAATGAAGTAACACGGTCTTAGGATTTATTGTACAAAATTGAAATTTATTAATCGTTGTGTAATAGGTACATGTATGTAACGCATATATATGTGTATTGTTAATGTTCTCAGAAATGTCAACGTCAGAGTCCTATTTAATTAATCCTCACACATAATATCAACAAAGAGTGATGTGGTAGTGTAAGAAAATGACAGAGAATAGCATAATGCAAAATGTATTACAATGTATGATACCAAATGTTTTGTTTAGATACATTGAATTGAAGTGTATTAAAGTACATAAGGAACACAAACAAAAGTAATTGAAATCATTAACTCTAACTCTAGTCACGTGTGTTTGTGTTCATTTGAAATGAAATGAGAAATATTCAAGTAGAAGTTGAGTTTTGTCCACAGCAGTGTATCCACAGAAAGAAGAAAATAATGTATAGAAATGTAAGCATAGGTATAAATGAAATAGAAAAAAACCAATATCTAATGACAATCGTAGACAGCAGTAACGCAATTTAAATAAGTTATACTTTATGTTAAGTGTAGTGCCTATGGTAAGTATAAAGTAAGTGTGGCATGAGAGAGTAAGATTGGTTGTAAGTTAGTGATGAGTTAAAAATGAGTTGTGACAATGCAATAGTGTAGTGTATAGCACCAACGTTGTGTCATACATTGAAGTATAGCAGTGTATGTATAGAATTAAAATGTGAAGAAAATAATATTACAATAAATAAGTATGATTTACCTATAAAAACAAATAAAATTGTCTACAAAAATGTATTTTTAGATTCCTTAGGTATACATTACGATTATAACAAATTAACTATTCTGGAAAATCATCGCAATATCAATTTCGGGTCAAGTACAGCTGAAATTTGGTAGAATCTACTTTCTGGAGAGCAGCCGTCGGAAATGGAGAAGAGTTGAACCGTCATATGGATACATATGAAGATGATGAAGAGCTTAACCGTTATATGGATACGTATGAATGTTGTACCCATGAGCTATGTTAAAAAAAATTTTTTTGTAATATTGTTTAAAATATAATCTTTTAACATTTTTACACGTACACTCTTATTATTATAAATCCCTATTAATATTTATATAATATATCGTTAGATGGGAAAAACGCTATATAGTAATTTCACATTTCTGAGTGACATATGTTCACATTCCCTAGTATGTTAGCAGCTATAAGGTCTCTTCAAGCGCTGGATTTAAATCTATTGTAATCATAAATGATCATAAATGGTCACTAACGTATCATAATATACCATAATATTGTGCATATTATTGTATACACCATATTATTGTACTCGTCTCAGGTCAAATCATATGTATTATAATTATGAATATTTTACACGACCTGAGATGAAATTAACGGAATTACGGTATATCTTCCAAACTGAATTATACCTTCAACACCCCACCCTGATAAATTGGATCATTCTCACTTATATGAGATCATTATACCACCTTAGACCCCAAAATAATTTTCTTCATACCACTAAAATCATTATTAATTTAAATCACATCGTATTCAACTGTCATGACATCAGCATCCATATTTTAATTAATCTTATCTCTGTTTTAATACTTCGCAAATAAGCACAAACAGTTCTATTCTTTGTTTTAATTAATTCAAAGAGTCTTTAACTACATAATGTATTCCCAATCATGTAAGAATATTTTATATTATATTATATTATGGTATGATACATTTTTTTTATTCAGTCAATGAAATATTACATATCGTTTTAAAAAAATCGTTGGGAGAGAAATTAGAAGCAACATGTGGTGTAAATTTCACTATATCGGACATGTGCAAGCAATGCAGGATAAAAAAGGGTAACTTCTGTAAAAATAATCACTTAGTTAATAGTTCAAAGTGGTTTGAAATTATAAGTCGTAAATTTGGTAAATGTGAAATAGTACGGTTAGTAGATGATATTGCAACATATTCAGGGTTTGATTTTGAAATGTTATTACGCGAGTTGTATGAGAAAGTGTACAGGAATATTTTCGATAGTGGACATAATTTCTGGAAGAAGAAAATTACTAGAAAAAGCATAACACATAACAAGCCGACTGTAAGTGACAATTATTGGAATAATTTAATTTATATGATATTAGAATTAAAATGTGAAGAAAATAATATTACAATAAATAAGTATGATTTACCTATAAAAACAAATAAAATTGTCTACAAAAATGTATTTTTAGATTCCTTAGGTATACATTACGATTATAACAAATTAACTATTCTGGAAAATCATCGCAATATCAATTTCGGGTCAAGTACAGCTGAAATTTGGTAGAATCTACTTTCTGGAGAGCAGCCGTCGGAAATGGAGAAGAGTTGAACCGTCATATGGATACATATGAAGATGATGAAGAGCTTAACCGTTATATGGATACGTATGAATGTTGTACCCATGAGCTATGTTAAAAAAATTTTTTTTGTAATATTGTTTAAAATATAATCTTTTAACATTTTTACACGTACACTCTTATTATTATAAATCCCTATTAATATTTATATAATATATCGTTAGATGGTAAAAACGCTATATAGTAATTTCACATTTCTGAGTGACATATGTTCACATTCCCTAGTATGTTAGCAGCTATAAGGACTCTTCAAGCGCTGGATTTAAATCTATTGTAATCATAAATGGTATACATCTCCTATTGTCAGCGGAACGACCTGTTTCGACCGGTCTTTTGTCAACACGCACAGGCGAATTCCTGGAAATTGTACTGATAAACGATGGTTCCTAAAATAATTGGTAATAACTAGTGATGTACACATTTATCATAGTAAATACCTGATTAATATTTTGGTAACCCGCGGCTTGAAATGCTACCCTCACCAAAAATGCCGAGATTTCTGGACACTCGCTCCGTTGTCCGCCAAGACATAGTCAGTTTGTTCCAGGCACCCATACCTTTACGTTTACTTTGCCTTTGCTGTCTCCGTGTTTTCATAGCCCTCACAATTCGCTTTACGTACTCTGTTTAATTTTCACTCCGTGTTTAATTTTTGCAAGTGTTTTAAACACGTTTTTATTTTTCTCTCGTTTTCATTTTAAAACATTTTAAGCATGTTTAAATGCGTTCAGTGCCCGTCGGTGTTCGTGCGTAAAACCAGTTTAATCGCGCATCAAAATAAACATGCAGGTGTACGTTTTCCATGATCCGATTGCACTTCAACATTTTCATCCAACTCACATCTTATTAGACATTTGAAGAATATTCATGGTATGTATTAATAATATAAAGTATTATTTCTATCTTATACAATATTAATTTATATTATTTTTCCTAAGGTATCGTAAACGTTCCGGCTCATTTGAGACCAAAGCCCGCTGCGCCGATCACCGCTCAACCAGCACGACCAAGCGTCATACAGTTCGCGCCTCTTGCCGCTCAGCAGGGAGATTTTCAAATCGCGCCGCAGATATTTGTACCTGATGTCCCGGCCGGTGGCTCAAACATGTTAACCGAAGACGAAATGTGTATGGAGGCCATGGACGAATTTGAGGATACAGGTTAGTTTTATTTATAAGAATTATTTTTATTTATAAGAATTAGATTTTTAAAAGACCCGTTGATTTTACGGATCATTTTTTAAAAAGATATACTAACAAGTATTATTGATCGACCAATTAGATTTTTAAAAATAATTGTCGTTAAATAGATTTTTAAAATTCAACAAATTATCGTACAACACTTAATCAATTACTTAGATTTATAATAAATTTTAAATATAAATTCTATTTACCTAACCTAACCGGCCCAACGTCCCCAATTCGTCGGAGAACCGGGCCTTTAAAACAGTGGCGACAGAAATTTACCCTGACAGCGATTTTAGAACTATTGTAGAGAGGGCGTACATGAAGTTGGTTCAGGAGAAAGACGATTACATCGGGAGGGGTAGTGGATTCGTCCTAGAGTCGATAGACGGACTATTAGTAGTGGTGTATAAATATATGCCGATGGTTGGATCGTCATATATTCAGCTGCCGGAATATATCGACAGGAAGCGAGGTACCATCAACCCCAAAAACTCGGACCAACAGTGTTTCAAGTGGGCAATTTTAACGAGACATGTTACGGGGCTGTCGGCATTTCGTGTGGAGGGGGATAAATATAGTCAGCATGAGGGCAAGTACAATTTTGATGGTATATCGTTCCCGACTATCAGACATCACCAAATTTGAGAAAAATAATAATAACGTCTCCATAAATGTATACGGCCTCGACAAAAAGTTCCAGGTGCCCCGTAAGTACCCAACGTACGAAGTGTATCCGCTGCGTGTTGTCGACGAAGAAAAAAAGGAACACTTCGACCTGTTATTGGTAACGGACGGTGACAACTCGCACTATGTGTACATTTCAAATTTTTCCCGGCTCATACGTGCGCAGAAAACGATACACAATGGGAGTGTCATTTTTTGTAAAAGGTGCTTCACCAGCTTTGACAACCAAAATTTTAAATTCAAGTTGAGCGGACAGGAGGCCCTGGACCAACATAAATTGATTTGTGGGGCGCATAAACCCATTTTACCCGAGATGCCGAAGGAGGGTGATTGTGTTGAGTTCAGGGCGTGGAAAAAAACGGTCAGGTACCCGTTTGTTATATACGCAGATTTCGAATCATTGCTGGTGAAGACGGAAGAGAAGAGGGGCGATAGTACCACAATTATACAGAGACACGAAGCTATGAGCTACGGGTTTTTGGTGAAGGCGAGCGATGACGTACCGGCGGAATTATTGGCGGAGTACGAGATACCGGCGGGGCCGGTAATCTACAGAGACAGCGAAGACAGGACGGACGTGGCAAACATTCTGTGGAGACGATAGTTGAGGTGGCCCTGAAAATCGAAAATCTGATGAAGACGAATACCCCCATAATCATAAGCGAGGACGAAGAAAAAACACATCAAGAGTGTATAGAGTGTAACTTATGCAAATGCATATTAGTCGGGGGCGATAAGGTTAGGGATCATGATCATTTAACGGGTAAATTTAGGCAGACCTTGTGCTCTAGGTGTAACTTAGAGTTGCAACAGCCTAAATTTGTCCCTGTCTTTTTTCATAATCTCACAAACTACTACTCGCACTTCATAATCACCGAACTTGGGTATGATACTCAAACTATCAACGTTATACCGAACAGTGAAGAGAAATTTATATCTTTCTCGAAATATATAAGTAGTACCTTCACTGTTCGGTTTATCGACACGTTCAGGTTTATGGCGTCGAGTCTGTCGTCCCTGGCTGAAAATTTAGTTACACCCGAACAAAAGAACTTCCACGAGACAGCCAAACATTTTGTCGCCGGAGATATGCCGCTCGTGACTCGTAAGGGGGTGTACCCGTACGAGTACACGGATAGTTGGGAGCGGCTGGATGAGACGAGGTTACCGAGGAAGAGAGAATTTTATAGTACATTGACAGAGACCGGGATTAAGGAGAAGGAGTTTGAACACGCGAAGGAGGTCTGGGACCACTTCGGCTGTACGACGTTGGGGAAGTACAGCGATCTATATCTTAAAATCGACGTGTTGTTGTTGGCGGACGTTTTTGAAAACTTCCGCGACGTGTGCATGAGGGCGTATAACCTGGACGCCGCCCATTATTTCACCGCCCCAGGCTTAAGTTTCGATGCGATGCTTAAGTTCACGGGGCAAAATCTCCAGTTATTGCATGATTACGACATGTTGTTGATGTTCGAAAATGGTCAGTATATTATTTTTTAAAAATTAATATATAATAATCTTATATATTTGTTATACGTATACGTGGAGGATTGGTGCAGGCGAGCAAGCGATATGCGAAGGCGAACAATGTAAAGACCCCGGGGTAGACGAAACGAAGGAGAAATCGTGGATAATATATCAGGACTGTGAGTATATTTTTTTCTTACTTAATAATATTTTTTAAATTTTATAGGTAACAACTTGTACGGGTGGGCAATGTCCCAGTATATGCCGTACGGTGGGTTCAACTGGGTTGAACCTACGTTAAACGGATTGGATGATTTGGATGACACCTCCCCCATAGGACGAGTGTATGAGGTGGAAGTGTCGTACCCAAGACACTTGCATAACGGATATAACGACCTGCCTTTCCTACCGCAAAACAGCGTGCCTCGAGGCTCGAAGGTTAGGAAGTTGATGGCGACATTTGAGAAAAAGGAGAATTACATCATACATTATAGGAACCTACAGCAGGCCATTAAGAATGGTTTGATAGTTGAAAAAGTAAATATTTGTATTTTATATGGTTTTAAACAGATTTTTAACATTTCTCTTATTTTTTATAGGTGCACAGAGTTATTCAGTTTAACCAGTCAGATTGGCTGGCTAAATATATTAAGTTAAACACACAGATGAGGAAGAAGGCTAAGAACGATTTTGAGAAAGACTTTTTTAAGCTGATGAACAATGCTGTATTTGGTATGTTACTTTATACTATTTATTATACTATTTACCAACATTTTAATTTTCTAGGGAAGACTATGCAATCGAAGAGGAAGGAGATGAAGATGGAGTTGGTGTCATGCGAAAAGAGGTTACAGAAGTTGATAAATAAGAGCACATTCAAGTATTGTACTAATTACAATGAGGACCTGAACACGGTCGCACTGGAGAACAAAATTATTAAATTTGATAAACCTATATATATTGGTAAATATACTTTTTTAAATTACATTTTTATCATTTATTATTTACAGGATTCGCTGTGCTGGACATATCCAAGACGAAAATGTATGAGTACCATTATGATGTCATGCAGAGGCACTATGGAGACAAAATTAAATTAATGTACACTGACACAGGTAAATATACTAAAACTATACTCATGTATATAATATATTAATTTAACATTATTTTTCTAGATTCGTTGATATATTATATTGAAACCCAAGATTTTTATGTAGACTTGGCTGCTAATTCTAATCTACTGGACCGGATGGACACTGCTAACTTGCCCACTGACCATCCGTGTTATGTGGCAAGCAGAAAGAAGGAGCCGGGACTCTTTTCCGATGAGGTGGTTGCTAATATTATTACAGAGTTTGCTGCGTTGAGGGCCAAGTCATACGCGTTTAATGTATATGCTGGTCCAGAGGATGAGGTGGTAAATGACATAGTAGGAGGAGAAAAAATTAATGCGAAGGGTATCAGAGCTCATGTGGTTAAAAACCACATGACTCTTGAGGACCATAAAAAGTGTTTGTTTGGGGAAGAAGGATTAGAGGCGAACAAGGAGAATGTTTCGATCAGGTCGTTTAACCACCAACTGGTTACGTTAAAAACAAAGAAGTTAACGTACAACAATTATGACGATAAGAGAGTGGTGTTAGATGACAAAATACACACACTAGCCCATGGGCATTATAGTATAGAGTAAGTTATTACAAAATATATATTTAAATTATTGTAATGATTTTACTTTTATATTTTATAGGGAAGATGAACCCGAGGACGAATGGTCTGAACTCGACTATGAGGTAGATGACAGAGGGCGACGATGGAGTAAACTGGATAAAGAGTTTATGAGGAAGCTTCTTTGTTACACAACTAAATAGTTTTACTTATTTTTTTTGTTATATAGTTTTATTGTTTTGTTATATATTGATTATTGTAAATAACTTGTAAATATTATCCTATTAATTGTTATATAATGTAAATACTTGATAATAGATTATTGTGTAATTTGTAAATATTTTTATAAAATATTAGATTAGTGTATAAATTTGTAGTATTAACACCTTTATAATGTATACTTTGTATGTAACGTATCAGTATGCTTTTGCTAGATATGTAAGATAGTTTACAATGTTTTCTTGTAATATTTTTTTCCTGTATAAATGTTTATAACCATGTTTTTTCTGTTTCAGGTAGATGGAAGCCAATATATTTAATTAGTTTTGTAAATGTTAACATATATATAAATGTATGTATATATGTTAGTATATAAATTAAAAAAACAATGTTAAAATATAATTATGTTTATTAAATAAAATGTATACATTCACAATTTTTAAGAATTATTTATAAACCATTTCCTTATAGCAAATACTTTATAGAATGTACATTGTTTTGGATTAAATTCCATATGAAAAATACAGCAAGGTAGAGTTTCAACATCACATATTTGGTCCAATCGTGGACATCCAAGGTCTTCGATGTTGATTAGTGCGACTTGAGGTATAAATTCTGTAAGCAGCTGTTTTTTCTGCTCACCTTTGACGTAAATGCATGAGAACTTTAAAGAGTTCAATATTCTACTTAGTTCTTCATACTCAACATCACCATATTCTATAGTAAGTTTATGATAGTTATGTTCCAACCACTTATTAGTTTTTCGACTCTTGTTGTCCTGCTTAGATTTAGAATTTTTAAAAATCCATTGTTGGTTCGCCCATGTTTCAGTGTCCACTATAGATAATTCTTTAATAAAATATTTATTGCCTGCTCCAAGAACGCATTGCATGTCTGCGATGGCCGACGACCTAATTACAGGTTTATATATCTGGCAAAAGACTACCAAACACGGTGGTGTATACAGCTCGACTGAAATTATTTTTCAATATCATATGACTCTAACCAACTATTTTATTTTGTGTAAAATCAAGTTTTCGTAATATTTTTGCTTTCCAGGATTATCAAACGTGAATTTAATTCTGAAATATATGTTCCGTGATTCGGCAATGAATTTTCATCAAATATTCCAGTTATACGATTTATTTCAGCTTTTAATTGGGCCACGTCTTGCCCTCGGATAGCGATCGTTGTACTGTTGTCAGCACAGTCATTAAATAGCTGCGACATACGATTTTCACAATTTAATAAAGACTTATTACTTGATTGTATATTATTTTCAAGCAATTGTATCTTATCACGTAGATTAACAATATTACTTTTCAGTGTCAATTTCTTTTTGTTGAAGTTTCACATCGTTTACAATTGTTTTGTTACTTGATTGAATATCTGATATAATTCTTTTAGCATCGCTCGCCTGAGAACTACCAAACACGTTCATAGTTATAAAACGACTGACACTATTTTTTGACATCACGTGTATTTATCCAACTACTATCTATCCGACTGTAAGTGACAATTATTGGAATAATTTAATTTATATGATATTAGAATTAAAATGTGAAGAAAATAATATTACAATAAATAAGTATGATTTACCTATAAAAACAAATAAAATTGTCTACAAAAATGTATTTTTAGATTCCTTAGGTATACATTACGATTATAACAAATTAACTATTCTGGAAAATCATCGCAATATCAATTTCGGGTCAAGTACAGCTGAAATTTGGTAGAATCTACTTTCTGGAGAGCAGCCGTCGGAAATGGAGAAGAGTTGAACCGTCATATGGATACATATGAAGATGATGAAGAGCTTAACCGTTATATGGATACGTATGAATGTTGTACCCATGAGCTATGTTAAAAAAATTTTTTTTGTAATATTGTTTAAAATATAATCTTTTAACATTTTTACACGTACACTCTTATTATTATAAATCCCTATTAATATTTATATAATATATCGTTAGATGGTAAAAACGCTATATAGTAATTTCACATTTCTGAGTGACATATGTTCACATTCCCTAGTATGTTAGCAGCTATAAGGACTCTTCAAGCGCTGGATTTAAATCTATTGTAATCATAAATGGTATACATCTCCTATTGTCAGCGGAACGAACTGTTTCGACCGGTCTTTTGTCAACACGCACAGGCGAATTCCTGGAAATTGTACTGATAAACGATGGTTCCTAAAATAATTGGTAATAACTAGTGATGTACACATTTATCATAGTAAATACCTGATTAATATTTTGGTAACCCGCGGCTTGAAATGCTACCCTCACCAAAAATGCCGAGATTTCTGGACACTCGCTCCGTTGTCCGCCAAGACATAGTCAGTTTGTTCCAGGCACCCATACCTTTACGTTTACTTTGCCTTTGCTGTCTCCGTGTTTTCATAGCCCTCACAATTCGCTTTACGTACTCTGTTTAATTTTCACTCCGTGTTTAATTTTTGCAAGTGTTTTAAACACGTTTTTATTTTTCTCTCGTTTTCATTTTAAAACATTTTAAGCATGTTTAAATGCGTTCAGTGCCCGTCGGTGTTCGTGCGTAAAACCAGTTTAATCGCGCATCAAAATAAACATGCAGGTGTACGTTTTCCATGATCCGATTGCACTTCAACATTTTCATCCAACTCACATCTTATTAGACATTTGAAGAATATTCATGGTATGTATTAATAATATAAAGTATTATTTCTATCTTATACAATATTAATTTATATTATTTTTCCTAAGGTATCGTAAACGTTCCGGCTCATTTGAGACCAAAGCCCGCTGCGCCGATCACCGCTCAACCAGCACGACCAAGCGTCATACAGTTCGCGCCTCTTGCCGCTCAGCAGGGAGATTTTCAAATCGCGCCGCAGATATTTGTACCTGATGTCCCGGCCGGTGGCTCAAACATGTTAACCGAAGACGAAATGTGTATGGAGGCCATGGACGAATTTGAGGATACAGGTTAGTTTTATTTATAAGAATTATTTTTATTTATAAGAATTAGATTTTTAAAAGACCCGTTGATTTTACGGATCATTTTTTAAAAAGATATACTAACAAGTATTATTGATCGACCAATTAGATTTTTAAAAATAATTGTCGTTAAATAGATTTTTAAAATTCAACAAATTATCGTACAACACTTAATCAATTACTTAGATTTATAATAAATTTTAAATATAAATTCTATTTACCTAACCTAACCGGCCCAACGTCCCCAATTCGTCGGAGAACCGGGCCTTTAAAACAGTGGCGACAGAAATTTACCCTGACAGCGATTTTAGAACTATTGTAGAGAGGGCGTACATGAAGTTGGTTCAGGAGAAAGACGATTACATCGGGAGGGGTAGTGGATTCGTCCTAGAGTCGATAGACGGACTATTAGTAGTGGTGTATAAATATATGCCGATGGTTGGATCGTCATATATTCAGCTGCCGGAATATATCGACAGGAAGCGAGGTACCATCAACCCCAAAAACTCGGACCAACAGTGTTTCAAGTGGGCAATTTTAACGAGACATGTTACGGGGCTGTCGGCATTTCGTGTGGAGGGGGATAAATATAGTCAGCATGAGGGCAAGTACAATTTTGATGGTATATCGTTCCCGACTATCAGACATCACCAAATTTGAGAAAAATAATAATAACGTCTCCATAAATGTATACGGCCTCGACAAAAAGTTCCAGGTGCCCCGTAAGTACCCAACGTACGAAGTGTATCCGCTGCGTGTTGTCGACGAAGAAAAAAAGGAACACTTCGACCTGTTATTGGTAACGGACGGTGACAACTCGCACTATGTGTACATTTCAAATTTTTCCCGGCTCATACGTGCGCAGAAAACGATACACAATGGGAGTGTCATTTTTTGTAAAAGGTGCTTCACCAGCTTTGACAACCAAAATTTTAAATTCAAGTTGAGCGGACAGGAGGCCCTGGACCAACATAAATTGATTTGTGGGGCGCATAAACCCATTTTACCCGAGATGCCGAAGGAGGGTGATTGTGTTGAGTTCAGGGCGTGGAAAAAAACGGTCAGGTACCCGTTTGTTATATACGCAGATTTCGAATCATTGCTGGTGAAGACGGAAGAGAAGAGGGGCGATAGTACCACAATTATACAGAGACACGAAGCTATGAGCTACGGGTTTTTGGTGAAGGCGAGCGATGACGTACCGGCGGAATTATTGGCGGAGTACGAGATACCGGCGGGGCCGGTAATCTACAGAGACAGCGAAGACAGGACGGACGTGGCAAACATTCTGTGGAGACGATAGTTGAGGTGGCCCTGAAAATCGAAAATCTGATGAAGACGAATACCCCCATAATCATAAGCGAGGACGAAGAAAAAACACATCAAGAGTGTATAGAGTGTAACTTATGCAAATGCATATTAGTCGGGGGCGATAAGGTTAGGGATCATGATCATTTAACGGGTAAATTTAGGCAGACCTTGTGCTCTAGGTGTAACTTAGAGTTGCAACAGCCTAAATTTGTCCCTGTCTTTTTTCATAATCTCACAAACTACTACTCGCACTTCATAATCACCGAACTTGGGTATGATACTCAAACTATCAACGTTATACCGAACAGTGAAGAGAAATTTATATCTTTCTCGAAATATATAAGTAGTACCTTCACTGTTCGGTTTATCGACACGTTCAGGTTTATGGCGTCGAGTCTGTCGTCCCTGGCTGAAAATTTAGTTACACCCGAACAAAAGAACTTCCACGAGACAGCCAAACATTTTGTCGCCGGAGATATGCCGCTCGTGACTCGTAAGGGGGTGTACCCGTACGAGTACACGGATAGTTGGGAGCGGCTGGATGAGACGAGGTTACCGAGGAAGAGAGAATTTTATAGTACATTGACAGAGACCGGGATTAAGGAGAAGGAGTTTGAACACGCGAAGGAGGTCTGGGACCACTTCGGCTGTACGACGTTGGGGAAGTACAGCGATCTATATCTTAAAATCGACGTGTTGTTGTTGGCGGACGTTTTTGAAAACTTCCGCGACGTGTGCATGAGGGCGTATAACCTGGACGCCGCCCATTATTTCACCGCCCCAGGCTTAAGTTTCGATGCGATGCTTAAGTTCACGGGGCAAAATCTCCAGTTATTGCATGATTACGACATGTTGTTGATGTTCGAAAATGGTCAGTATATTATTTTTTAAAAATTAATATATAATAATCTTATATATTTGTTATACGTATACGTGGAGGATTGGTGCAGGCGAGCAAGCGATATGCGAAGGCGAACAATGTAAAGACCCCGGGGTAGACGAAACGAAGGAGAAATCGTGGATAATATATCAGGACTGTGAGTATATTTTTTTCTTACTTAATAATATTTTTTAAATTTTATAGGTAACAACTTGTACGGGTGGGAAATGTCCCAGTACATGCCGTACGGTGGGTTCAACTGGGTTGAACCTACGTTAAACGGATTGGATGATTTGGATGACACCTCCCCCATAGGACGAGTGTATGAGGTGGAAGTGTCGTACCCAAGACACTTGCATAACGGATATAACGACCTGCCTTTCCTACCGCAAAACAGCGTGCCTCGAGGCTCGAAGGTTAGGAAGTTGATGGCGACATTTGAGAAAAAGGAGAATTACATCATACATTATAGGAACCTACAGCAGGCCATTAAGAATGGTTTGATAGTTGAAAAAGTAAATATTTGTATTTTATATGGTTTTAAACAGATTTTTAACATTTCTCTTATTTTTTATAGGTGCACAGAGTTATTCAGTTTAACCAGTCAGATTGGCTGGCTAAATATATTAAGTTAAACACACAGATGAGGAAGAAGGCTAAGAACGATTTTGAGAAAGACTTTTTTAAGCTGATGAACAATGCTGTATTTGGTATGTTACTTTATACTATTTATTATACTATTTACCAACATTTTAATTTTCTAGGGAAGACTATGCAATCGAAGAGGAAGGAGATGAAGATGGAGTTGGTGTCATGCGAAAAGAGGTTACAGAAGTTGATAAATAAGAGCACATTCAAGTATTGTACTAATTACAATGAGGACCTGAACACGGTCGCACTGGAGAACAAAATTATTAAATTTGATAAACCTATATATATTGGTAAATATACTTTTTTAAATTACATTTTTATCATTTATTATTTACAGGATTCGCTGTGCTGGACATATCCAAGACGAAAATGTATGAGTACCATTATGATGTCATGCAGAGGCACTATGGAGACAAAATTAAATTAATGTACACTGACACAGGTAAATATACTAAAACTATACTCATGTATATAATATATTAATTTAACATTATTTTTCTAGATTCGTTGATATATTATATTGAAACCCAAGATTTTTATGTAGACTTGGCTGCTAATTCTAATCTACTGGACCGGATGGACACTGCTAACTTGCCCACTGACCATCCGAGTTATGTGGCAAGCAGAAAGAAGGAGCCGGGACTCTTTTCCGATGAGGTGGTTGCTAATATTATTACAGAGTTTGTTGCGTTGAGAGCCAAGTCATACGCGTTTAATGTATATGCTGGTCCAGAGGATGAGGTGGTAAATGACATAGTAGGAGGAGAAAAAATTAATGCGAAGGGTATCAGAGCTCATGTGGTTAAAAACCACATGACTCTTGAGGACCATAAAAAGTGTTTGTTTGGGGAAGAAGGATTAGAGGCGAACAAGGAGAATGTTTCGATCAGGTCGTTTAACCACCAACTGGTTACGTTAAAAACAAAGAAGTTAACGTACAACAATTATGACGATAAGAGAGTGGTGTTAGATGACAAAATACACACACTAGCCCATGGGCATTATAGTATAGAGTAAGTTATTACAAAATATATATTTAAATTATTGTAATGATTTTACTTTTATATTTTATAGGGAAGATGAACCCGAGGACGAATGGTCTGAACTCGACTATGAGGTAGATGACAGAGGGCGACGATGGAGTAAACTGGATAAAGAGTTTATGAGGAAGCTTCTTTGTTACACAACTAAATAGTTTTACTTATTTTTTTTGTTATATAGTTTTATTGTTTTGTTATATATTGATTATTGTAAATAACTTGTAAATATTATCCTATTAATTGTTATATAATGTAAATACTTGATAATAGATTATTGTGTAATTTGTAAATATTTTTATAAAATATTAGATTAGTGTATAAATTTGTAGTATTAACACCTTTATAATGTATACTTTGTATGTAACGTATCAGTATGCTTTTGCTAGATATGTAAGATAGTTTACAATGTTTTCTTGTAATATTTTTTTCCTGTATAAATGTTTATAACCATGTTTTTTCTGTTTCAGGTAGATGGAAGCCAATATATTTAATTAGTTTTGTAAATGTTAACATATATATAAATGTATGTATATATGTTAGTATATAAATTAAAAAAACAATGTTAAAATATAATTATGTTTATTAAATAAAATGTATACATTCACAATTTTTAAGAATTATTTATAAACCATTTCCTTATAGCAAATACTTTATAGAATGTACATTGTTTTGGATTAAATTCCATATGAAAAATACAGCAAGGTAGAGTTTCAACATCACATATTTGGTCCAATCGTGGACATCCAAGGTCTTCGATGTTGATTAGTGCGACTTGAGGTATAAATTCTGTAAGCAGCTGTTTTTTCTGCTCACCTTTGACGTAAATGCATGAGAACTTTAAAGAGTTCAATATTCTACTTAGTTCTTCATACTCAACATCACCATATTCTATAGTAAGTTTATGATAGTTATGTTCCAACCACTTATTAGTTTTTCGACTCTTGTTGTCCTGCTTAGATTTAGAATTTTTAAAAATCCATTGTTGGTTCGCCCATGTTTCAGTGTCCACTATAGATAATTCTTTAATAAAATATTTATTGCCTGCTCCAAGAACGCATTGCATGTCTGCGATGGCCGACGACCTAATTACAGGTTTATATATCTGGCAAAAGACTACCAAACACGGTGGTGTATACAGCTCGACTGAAATTATTTTTCAATATCATATGACTCTAACCAACTATTTTATTTTGTGTAAAATCAAGTTTTCGTAATATTTTTGCTTTCCAGGATTATCAAACGTGAATTTAATTCTGAAATATATGTTCCGTGATTCGGCAATGAATTTTCATCAAATATTCCAGTTATACGATTTATTTCAGCTTTTAATTGGGCCACGTCTTGCCCTCGGATAGCGATCGTTGTACTGTTGTCAGCACAGTCATTAAATAGCTGCGACATACGATTTTCACAATTTAATAAAGACTTATTACTTGATTGTATATTATTTTCAAGCAATTGTATCTTATCACGTAGATTAACAATATTACTTTTCAGTGTCAATTTCTTTTTGTTGAAGTTTCACATCGTTTACAATTGTTTTGTTACTTGATTGAATATCTGATATAATTCTTTTAGCATCGCTCGCCTGAGAACTACCAAACACGTTCATAGTTATAAAACGACTGACACTATTTTTTGACATCACGTGTATTTATCCAACTATTGTGGGTATTATCGAATCCTAACCACTTGACGTACATTTGATTCTGTTTTTTACGTATAATTTTTTCAATTAAATATTCTTTTGGGAAATTGGTCTTGTATATTTCTTCAGAGTAAAAACAACCAGCTATAGGTTTACCCATATAATCTTGTAGTTGATAAGTAACGGGTAATGTTTTATTTATTTTGATAATCTCGAATATTTCCGTAGACCAGTTTGGTAAATAACCTTTTGTGAACACGCCCTTTTGTGTACTGATACGAACGTTATCGCCAACTTTAAACTTATTTTTTACAGTATTAATTTCACGATGTTTTATTACCACCGAAGCGGGTTTGGAATCTGCTTGTATTGGAGTCATTCCTATAGTTCTATGGTATGAATTATTGTATTCGTCAAGTAACTTTGGTAAAATTGAAACCCATTCGTGAGAGCCACGGGCTGTGAACTCCTTATACATTTTTCCCTTCAAAGTACGATTGAACCTCTCTGCTATGCTGGCCTTTAGAATACTGAAAGTTGAATATTTGTGTATGCCATACTTGGTCATCAAAGCGTCGAAAGTAGTGTTGTAAAATTCTTTTCCGTTATCGAGTTGTAAAAGTTTTGGTGAACGATCAAGTAATATTGTAGACATTGCACTAGTAACTTCTTTACCTGTCTTAGACTTTATCGGTTTCGCCCAAGAAAATTTTGTAAAACAATCAATCACAACCAGAGCCGTGTCAAGCAATTCAGCGCCCCGGGGCAATTCGAGCCCTTTCCCTACAATTTGGGCTCCAAGTAGCATATTAAGCTCAAATAACGACGCCCATAGGCGCGCTCAGACCTCTGGGTCAGGTAAGGCTAAATTAAATCTGATCACCCACCCCCTTGTCATGGTCACACAAGAAAAAAATTAGACATTTTCACATTTGACTACAAACTTTTAAGTGACCCTTTGGTTGGTACCTGGAAAATGTAAGCTATCAATTTTCATTATTTCAAACATACAAAATTCATCCATATTGATTTAAATTTTAATCAAATATAATCCAATAAAACAATTTATTCAAAAACGTTCGATATATAATATATAATATTAAAAATTGTCAATTAACATTATTCATTTTAAATCAACTTTAGAGATATAAATATTAAAATTTAGTTGAGCTGAGTAGTGGACATACATTTTGCGGGGTAACCCCGTACCACTCAACTCGGCTCATCTAAACTTTAAATACTTATAACGCATAGACTACTCGCACTAAATTAGATTTTTATGTATCGAAATACTTAGAAAAATATTCTACTTTGGCATATGAAATTCAAACTCTATGTTGTCAAAAAAATTAGAAGAATAAAAAATATTTTAAAATATAATTTTTTAATAACAAAGTTGTTTTGTAAGCGACTCAAAACTATGTAAAAAAATATTTTAAAAAACAATCACACTTTTTGAAATAATGAGTGTTTAATTTTAAATAAATCGCCCTGTTTAGTCTCTCGGGTAAACACAAACGTTTAAAATCTAAAAAGGCTATATACCTACTTTTAGTCATGTCTTCATAAGGTACCAACCCACCCACGTATAAAAAAGCTCAGGTAGGGCTAAAGCCCAATCAGCCCTACCCGTGCGCACGCCTATGACGACGCCCCTTACTTTTACAAAACTATGGCGCCCGGGGGCAATTGCCCCCTTTGCCCCCCCCCTTAACACGGCTCTGATCACAACCAGGATGTATTTGTAACCACCATTTACTTTTGAATATGGTATCATTTCAACCAAGTCGGCTTGCCATAAATCATTTTTTCCATAGACGATAACTCGACGCCTAGTGAAATTTTTCCTTGCTGGTTTGTGAAGTTCGTAAGCGATTTCCCGTTTAGACATCGGGAATTCGCTCTATTAGTCCGACCTCGTGTAATTCGTCGAAAATCTATATTATTTCGTTTGAAACGCTTGTATTGCCAGCTGCTTTTGACGCGAGAAGCAGACGTAATCGGTCGACCAACTCGTTTGGATTATCCCAATACACTATAAGTTATTTTTCTGTAATTTCATAGACAGCTCGCCACCCGAGGGGAATAATTTACTAATAATAGTTGAATATTTAGTCCCACCCTTTTTTATTTTATTTCCAACTGTAGATAAGTGTACCGATGTTTGAGTTAATATAGATTTATATACCTCTAAATCGCTATCAGTAAAAATAAGTGGATTTTTTAAAAATGAGCACCGTGTCGTTGGAGGAACAGGATTAGAGACGCGAATCATGAGCGGCTCGAGGGAGGTGCAATAATGCAATAATTCTACAATAATCTTATCAGTAGGACAAAAATATTCTCAATGTGATAATTTACTACACGGCAACCGGCTATACGTATATTTTGTTCTTTGTTGTTCTCCGTTCTCCGTGCAGACGTGAACTCATCTTTTCTGGCTTTCTGCAGATTTTATAGTGTTACAGTGTGTATTACTTATACTAATACTACAAGTATTACTTGCAAGTGTTTTCCAGTGTATTAGCACAGTCAGGTAAGCAATAAAATGATTTGTTTTATTTGTAAAGCAGTTGTCAATAATTTGCATGCTTTGATGGCTCACTTTAAAATAATTCATCTCTTAAAACCAGATAGCACCTATACTTGTTGTGAAGCATTTTGCTCTCAATCATTTAACTGTCTGTCTTCTTTCAAGACATATGCTAAAAAAACATGTTACTCAAAATTCTAATAATACAATATTACCACCTAATGAACAGCAAAATAATATACTTAACAATGAAATTTCAAATGAAAATAAAAATAGTTATTCTAATGTGAATAATGACAATCAATGTGTTGATAATATAGTTATTAGTACGTTTGATTTTGAAAATGCAGTTGAACTCTTGTATCAGTCCACCGTTAAATTTGTTTTAAGTTTACATAATAGAAATAACTTTAATATTAGTGATGTAACGTTCATTCAATCTAAAATGAAAGAAAATGTTTTGAAACCCATGGCCTCAGTTTTTAAAAAAATAGTTGAAAAAGAGATTAATGAACCTTTACAAATTTCTAAAATTTTGAAATTTAAAACAGTTATATTGGACCCTTTTATTTACTGTAGGTAGTACAGAACACCGCTTAAATAATTGGTTAAGACAGAGACATTTTCCTGTCACCTCTGCATCAGTTTACTATAAATAATGAAATTGTGCCTATGGATCAAGCTGGTAATATCACATATTATGATGAAAAATAACTATACTATGTCACACGAGAGATCATACCTGTTCTGCGCATATAGAATTAATCTCGTCGTCCGCGGTTGTCGGCCTGAGCCGTCGCATCCTCTCCATGTCGACCGACGACAGACGACGAAATCGAGTGGCGGCGCTACCGACGCGCTGCCGACGTCTGCCGTCGGCAGCGCCGTTTGGTGGATGATGAGCGGAACCGACGAGTTTTCGATTTCTCGCGGCATGATCTCTCGTTGGACAGAGTATAAAGGTGTTTTGCTAC